ACGCTCTTTAGTTCTCTCAGGTTGCCATCAACTTTGGCACAGACCCCTCCAACTGAAGCTCAAAAGCACAGCAGCAGATTGAAACTCAGCGATAAGGTTTCCCACGACAACCTGACGTTAAGGAGCTGGTTTTTCCAGCTTGATAGTGGGTCTCTAACAGCTTCTCTCATTGATGGTTTTAGACAGGAAGAGGGAGACATCAAACCCAGAAGGCTCCTGGAATCATTTTGCTCCATCTTGTGGTTCTCTCTAATGAGAAAATCCCTCTGGTATTTCCCACAGTTTCCCTTGAAAAGTCTGGCAGCACTTGTGACTGCCCCGTGGCAGCATCTGTGCGTCCCTTGCGGCGGGCAGCCATGCAGAGGTGTGCCGTACAGCTCTCCACCCCCAAGGAAAACCAGGGCAACAGGAAGCAAGAGCCAAACCCCATCAAGCAAAGGGTCTTTACGAGGATGGGGGTTCAATTCTCCACCTTACTCTGCTCTCCCCTCAGAGGCAGGCAAAAGAGGCTTCCATCCTTAAGGATCAGGCAAAGCGCAGGGGCGCATGAGCTTTGATTTGGGGTGGCTGCTACGACACCTGGTCATTGAGGAAAGAAAAACCCTTTTTCCACGTGGATGGTTACATCTGACCCTGTGATTTCACTAGAGCCGTTCAAAGGGAAATTGGGAGCACAGCTTTCGGGAGCTACACAGCATGAATTGCCAGTAGCTGACACAGCATCACCTGCTTCAGTCTTACCAGAGCCTCCAAAATAGGGTGACTTCAATGGAATGTCGGGGGGGATTTTTTCCAATTATTTTTAAGCGAGCAGCAAAAAGCCTGTGATCAGAGCATATTTTTTTTTTAACCTTTCACTGCAGAACAACTCTGACAAGTCAGTTAGGACAAAGAGTGTCTCACCCAAATCTCCCCTGCCACCCTGTTGCTCTGTGGCTGTCCTCCCGAGAAAGTCACGTGGCACAACAGGAGCAGGTCAGCAGATGGAACAGCCCACCCTCTGCTCTCCATGGCATCCAGCCCAGGGGGGGAACTCCTGGCTAGCCAGAGTTTAGCCTCCTGGCCTGCAAACTGGCCCCAATGCGTGGTTGAAAGCTTTCCCAAGGAAAGCTCTTCCCCTCTGCAAGTGCCACACCACACCATCCGCTTGCCTGGCCACCCATGACAGCAGCGTGCCAGCGTACACCCACACCCCAGCCACCATCGCCTGATGGCCTCAAACGCTGACGTGCCGTTTCTGTTCCCACGTGCACAGCACGTGTGACTCAGTGACAGCAAGGAGCTGAGGCCTCTGCCCATGCCGAGCGTGGACAGCATCCAACACAAGGTGTTGACAGGGGGAAACGCAGACCCTGAAGCTACACCAGCTACGTGAGAGAGGCAGCTTGCACAAACCGCGAGCCACCTCCCTCGGTCCCCTTTCTCCAAGGGGCAAGACCCACAGAAAGACTTTGCAGGACCCTTGGTGTGGCAGCTCCTGGCCCACGGCTGATTGGTGACTGTGGGTCCAGGAAAAAACATCCAAGGAGTGGAACCTTGCGATCTGCGGGACAACTGAGGCGGAAGCAGAGCCATCAGACACAGAGGAGCCCTCCTGCCACACTGGCACCACAGCTCCGTCACCCTCACGTCGAGCTGTGGGACCCCACACCTGTGCTGGAGCTCAGCCCTCGATCTGCAGAGCATCACAACTTCCCCCCCACTAGCAGCGGGCAGATAACCCTCTTTGGGGCAGGCAGAGCCAGGCCACCACCTTCCTGGGCTGGTATTTTACACGGTGCTAACTACCAGAGCTGCCATCAGCGGGAACTGTGGGATAAAGCAGCCTCCCGAAGCACCCACGGAGCACCCTACTGCCAGGAAAGCCTTCAGGGTTCCTATGGAGCAAACGCACAAGCAGCAACATCCTATTAAGGGATTCTGAGAAGCGGAAGGACGAGCAGTCAATGTGGAAAAAAAGGAAAGCCAGAAAAGGAATCAGTTTTGAAAGAGGTAAAGGGGAAGGCCTAGAAAAGTCTCTGCGGAAAACAAAGGAGCAGCAGAGTCACAAGGCAAAGCTGAGGCTGGCAGCTGCGCTGGAAGGGAAGGCAGATAAGGCACCGGGTCACTTATACAACACCACAGCCACTTCAGGGTGCCCCAGGGTCTGGGGTCTGGGGAGAGCTCTCTACTCAGGCACATGTGTTGGGTACATGTTGGAGGAGCCCACAGTCGTGCAGCTCACCAGTTCATTCATTGAGACCCCACCTGGAGTACTGCCTCCAGCTCTCGAGCCCCCAGCGTAAGAAGGACATGGACCTGTTGGAGCGGGTCCAGCGGAGGGCCACAAAGATGATCAGAGATCTAGAGCCCCTCTGCTGTGAGGACAGGCTGAGAGAGTTGGGGGGGTTCAGCCTGGAGAAGACTTTGGGGAGACCTTATTGCAGCCTTCGAGTACCCAAAGGGGGCCTATAGGAGAGCTGCGGAAGGACCTTTTACCAGGGCATGTAGTGATAGGATGTGGGGAATGGCTTCAGACTGGAAGAGGGGAGATTTAAGTAGGAAGAAATTTTTCACTTTAAGGGTGGTGATCCCCTGGCGCAGGTTGCCCCGAGAAGCTGTGGCTGCCCCATCCCTGAAGGGGGTCAAGGCCAGGTTGGACGGGGCTTGGAGCAACCTGGGCTGGGGGGAGGGGTCCCTGCCCATGGCAGGGGGGGTAGAACTCCAAGATCTTCAAGGTCCCTTCCCACCTAAACCATTCTATGATTCTGTGATTCAAAGCAACATCTCTCTCAAGCACTGGAGAGCAGTTTCCACCTTCACATCCTCCACGAGGTATCCTGTTCAGTTTGCAGGGTGGTTTTGCTGCACACACCCAGGGGATTTGCTCCCAAATCAAAATGCAACAAAGTCCCAGCTCGTAGCTCCATAGATAAACCTTACTGTAAAGCTTTGCTTGCAAGCTGAGACTGAATGAAACAGAGCTAACAGTAGAAGTGCAATGCTTCTATTAGGAACTTGGGGCAGATTTGGGTACACACAGAATCAATTCCTCCCTTTTCATGTCACTGCCCTTTATGGAGTCATTATAGACCTATTGTGCCTTGGCCAAAAGGAGAAGAACTGAAAACACACCCCCTTGTTAAAGAGGTTAATAAATAGACCGATTACATTCATAAAAGAGAAGCTCAATGGTATGCTTTCTAAAAATTGCATCGATTTAGCATATCTCCAAAGTGACTAAACACACAAGACTCAGGAAATATTAAGGGCACATGCTCACTTCAGCATCTGACAGCATCTGGACTGAGATGCTCAAAACCAGAATCTTGCTCTTTCTACTCTGCCAAAAATTCTGTTTTCTTCTCTCTTCTCTGACGTAGCATCCGATCAACATAAGGCAGTTTGAGCTCACGCAGACACAAGGCACAATGTGTGTCTGAGATATTTCCTAAGCATAACCCTTAGGAAAAAGCGTTTTCAAAGCAGGTTTGTCAGGGACAGCTGCAGAGGCATACCACAAAGGTTCATCCCTCTCTTCCCCACCCCCCCCAAGAGAGCAGCTCATCACAACCCATCCCACCACAGCAGGAGTTTTCTTCCAGCTCACAGGAACTCTCTCCAAGCAATAAGGACGAGAAGTATCGATTGAAGTGCTGCCAGATTTTGTTGTGTACAAAAAAGGTGTATTTTTTCTGTGAATTCTGAAGTCTCAGAATTAACTTAAATCTCATCTTTTTAACCTGACAGCACTCCCAATGATACCTGTCGGCATTACAATCCACTGCTCTGTTACCTGTTTGTACCAGAATGGAAATACAGTGCATACATCTAGGCACCACAATACCTGCATCTCTACAGATTTGACTTAATACTTTCAAAGTCACCCATTTCAGATTTTAAAAGTCCAGCCAGTGACATCTTCGAGATCACCCAGCCAGGAAACAGCAAATGGAGAAAAAGAAGTTTTCAATTTCTTAACTCTCATAATCATAAGCTGCTATTGAGAGACTAATTTCAGGCTTTAATATTACTAAACATTGTAAATCTAGAATTAATAACAAACATATGTTCTAACAGAACTGATGCTCTTTTTTATACCTGACTTTTTTGAAAGCGTTATCTAAATTAAGTTACGGCAGAATAGAAAAATACTTGAATAAATACGAGGCAGCAAAAAATCATCACACCCCAAACACACAAACAAAGATCTAAATGAGGACAAAAAATAAATCCATCTCATCTGGCTGCCCACAGCCACCTTCCCTTCCTTCCCCGCAAGGAAGGGAAAACAGTGCGATTTCACAGCCTCTCCTAAAATCCAATAAAGTATTTGGGCTCCAGCAGGTAGTAACTCCTCACGACATCACACATTTTTCACATAAAGTAACAATAAACCCTTAAAGAAAGATTTAAACACACGTGTGCGCATACACAGAGAAAATCAAAGACCAAAAGTAAAAAAATAAAGCAAGTAAGGAAAGAATTAGAAATATGGTAAACAAAATACACCCACCAGCAAGGCACTGACTGCCAAACATCTCTGTCACGACTAGAAGCAGCTAAAGGCAAGAGATAGAGAAGAAGAAAGAGGAAAATTAAAGGAAAAAAAAAAAATTGTGTGCACAAATAGACACATAGATGTATACAAGATTTCATCCAAGATGGGCAACCAGGAAGAAGGGGTCATTTAAAGTCATCTCGCCATTCCCATTCACCCAGGGCCACACAGTGCTTACGCCCGCACCAGGAACATGCACCGTCAGAAGGCAGCTGAAAATTCACGCAAAGCTGACCCTCAGACTACACCCTGTCCCGACACCGGACTTTCTCTTTCTCTGCAAAAAGAGGCAGCAGAACTGCCTACGACTAGGAACTATTTTTATTTTTCAAAATAACTTTTGCTGAAAATGTCTACAGGACAAAACAGCTTCTGAAGAGCTACAACTAACTGCCCAGTCTTTCGTGAAGGGCTAGGGAAGGGTTATAATTCAGGCTTGATTCTAGGTTTTGCAGCAAAGTTTACTGAGAGCACCCACTAAAGGAAAGTAACAGCCCTGGAAATGCACAGACAGCACAGGCTAATCCAGGCGGCCACAGAAACCAAAAAGTCTCGCTTACTCTACTTCTGTAACACAGGTCTCCAGAAATCAAAGCATTGTACACTTTGTCATTGTAGATTACATCAATTTTTTACAACATTATGTTTTATTACAGTTGGGAAAGTATTTACAAAGAAAGATCACAAACCAGATGTTATCTCAATTCATGGTATTACCCTGGGAAACTATGCGGAGAGGACTCATGTAATGTCTGCCTGTAGCATTAAGTCAAATTCTTTTTGATGCTATCTGATATCACTTTTTCCTATAAAATTCATTCACGCTTGACATTCTAATAAGATCTCAGAGCTTCTCAACAACAAAGGATTGAAAACGCTTTTTGGGACTAAGAGGATTTATGTCAGAGAACAGATAGAAGCAGAGTCAAGTCTTTTTGCAGCTGCCTTTCAGGTCAGTGCTTCTGGATTACAACTGAAAAAGGCAGGTTTCTAGGACATGCTGTCAGCACAAGCTTCACCTGTACAATGGCGCTGGTGGGGCTCGCTCACCACCCCCTGCAGCAGCCTGAGCAGCAGCAGGCCATGGGCCAGCCCTGGCCCTTGCAGACACCTGAGTGACAGTTCAGCTTAGAGACCTGTGCTCCCCAGAGCAGCTTGAGAATAAACACAGTATTGGCAGGAAACACGCATCTATAAATACCCTGTTTTATACAGGCTGGAGTCTTCCACTAAACGATGGCAAAGTGAGAAACAAGTCCTCATCCCTGGACAGACTCAGCAGCTCTGTAAATGACCCTCAGTGGAGCAGGCTGGCTCTTAAAGCCTAATGCCGTCCTTCACCTACCTCACAGTTCTTTTTTTCCCCATTCTACTTCCTTGCCTGAAATAAAAACCAGAATATCAGAGGCCAAAAGCGACTGTGTAAACAGCAGCAACAGAAAAGTATATCTTGCCAAAAGAAAAGGCACCTTCGGACGCCTGGCAAGCGCAGCAGTGAGCAGAACAGGATGTCACAGAGGGATCCAGCCCACAGCAGCTGGTCCTGCTCCCTGCGGTGGGGCTGGCAAAGATCACTGCTTGCCACCCCCTGCGAGTCACACCTCATGTAGACTTTTAAACAAACAAGTAAGTTTATGCCATTGATCGCTAACTTCCAGTTACCAACCACGATGCTTCTGTTAAGGTCTTGACAAACATCTAATTATCTTTCAGGAAACAAAGCTCTGTGACAGAGGCTTCCGTGGCTGCATTTTGTTCCACCTGGAAAATTTACCTGGGCAAAAATAAAAAGAACTGGCCACTTGCCCAAGATTCCCAGGCCTCCCCCATGACTAAGCTCCCTGTGTCACGGAATCCCAAGAGCTCACAAACCACCCTTTGGTGTCCCAGCCCAAACACCCAGGCCTAGTGCGCAGGACGGTCCCTCAGCATCGAGGGAAAAGGGAGAACCTGGAAGAGAGAAGCAGTGCTAGCCCTCACTTCCTGCTTCCACAACCGCACCTCAAAGCCCCCGGTACCCCAAAGCCCCGGCCTCGGGTGTCTCTGTGGGAACGCAGGGAGAGCTCTGCAGG